ATACAATGTAATCACCACAAGAAGTCACCATGCACAGTTATAACAATATTACCGGGTATATTCCCTGTGCTGTATATTATATCTGCATGTCTTATTTATTTTATAACTAGAAGTTTGTATCTCTTATTATCCTTCATGTTTTCTATGTATCCTCCTCTCCACTCTCACTCCTGTAAGCATCAGTTTGTTTTCTGTATCCATGAGTTGTTTCTGTGTTATTTCATTTTATTTTTTTATATTCCACATATATGTGAAATCATATGGCATTTACCTTTCTTTGTCTGACCTGTGTCACTTAGCATAATACCCTCTAGGTCTATTCATATCACAAATGGCAAGATTTTATTCTTTTTTTATTGCTGAGTAATATTCCCTTGGGTATATACGTACACCAGATCTTCTTTATCCACTCATCTATTGATGGACATTTAGGTTGCTTCTATATCTTGGCTATTGTAAATAATGCTGCAATGAACATAGGAGTGCATATACCTTTTTGAATTAGTGTTTTCATTTCTCTGGATATATACCCAGAAGTGGAATTGCTAGGCTGTGTTTGAAAGTTCTATTTCTTATTTTTTGAGGCACCTCCATACTATTTTTCATACTGGCTGCAATGTTTTTCAGTCCCAACAACAATGCACAAGGGTTCCCTTTTGCACATCCATGCAAGTACTTATCATTTGTTAATAATAGCCATTCTGACAAGTGTGAGGTGATATCTCATTGTGGTTGTGATTTGCATTTCCCTGGTGACTAGCGATGCTGAGCATCTTTTCATATGTCTGTTGGCCATCTGTATATCTTCTTCGGAGAAATGCCTATTGAAGTTCTCTGCCCATTTTTTAATTGGATTGTTTGTTTTTTTGATGTTGAGCTGTTAATTCTTTATATATTTTGGATATTAACCCCTTATTGGATATAACATTTGCAAATATCTTCTCCCATTCAGTAGGTTGTTCTTTTGTTTTATTGATGGTTTCCTTCACTATAAAAAACACACAACTTTTTAGTTTGATGTAATCCCATTTGTTTAGTTTTTCTTTCTTTGCTATTGCACAGAGAGATATATTCAGAAAAATGCTGCTAAGACCAATGTCAAAGAGTTTATTGCTATGTTTTTTTTCTAGGAGTTTCATGGTTTTTAGGTCTTATATTTAAGTTTTTAATCCATTTTGAGTTTATTTTTGTATCTGGTATAAGAATGTCATCCAGATTCACTTTTTTTTTTGCATGTATCTGTCCAGTTTTCCCAACATCACTTATTAAATATTCTGTCATTTTAAAAAATGTATACTCTTGCCTCCATTATGATAGACTAATTGACCATATGTGTGGATTTATTTTTGGTCTTTCTATTTTGTTCCATGATCTGCATCTGTTTTTGTGCCACTACCACACTGTTTTGATTATTAAAGACTCCACCAAAAAACTATTAGAATGAATAAATGAATTCAGTAAAGTTGCAGGATAGAAAATTATTATACAGAAATCTGTTGCATTTCTATATACTATTAAACTATCAGAAAGAGATATTAAGAAAATTCCATTTACAATTACATCAAAAAGAATAAAATATCTAGAAATAAATTTAACCCAGAAAGTGTACGACCTCTACTCTGAAAACTATAAGACATTGATGAAAGAAATTGAAGAAGACACAAACAAATGGAAGGATATACCTCTTTTACGAATTGGAAGGATTAATATTGTTAAAATGTCCATACTACCCAAAACAATCTAAAGATTCAGTGTAATTGCTAATTTTTTACAAAACCAGAGCAAATGATCCTAAAATTGAGATAGAACCACAAAAGACCCTGACTAACCAAAGCAATCTTAACAAAGAAGAACAAAACTGGAGGTATATGCCCCCTGACTTCAAACTACACTTCAAAGCTTTAATAATATTATTTTCTTTTTAATTCATGTATTATTTAGAAGTATATTGCTAAATTTTCAAGTATTCTGAGATAATCTTCATTTTCTTTTCTAATTTAATATAATTTAGGCCAAACAACATAAACTGAGTAATCTGAATTCTTTGGAACTTGAAGCTTGTTTTTTACCTACCATATGATCTATTTTGGTAGCTATTTTATGTGCATTACAAAATAATGGATATTTTGCTGTTGTTATGTGGAAAGTTCTTTATGTTCACTAGGTGAAAGTAGCAGTTTTTCAAATATTCTGTATCATTACTAATTTTTTTTCTAACTCTATAATTACTATAAACTGATATCTTACATTGTGACTTGAGTTTGTCTTTTTCTTTTTTAGCTTAAATTTTGTTTTGCTTCATGTATTCTGAAGCTTTATTATTAGATGTTTACACATTTAAGATTTTTTAGCTTTCTGATCTGTTGCCCATTTTATTACAATGAAATTTCCACCTAAATTCTGATTATTGTCCGTCTGTATGTAATGTGCCTTTTTTCCTCTGGTAGTTTTAAGAATTTTCTATTTTTTATTTCCAACTGGTTATGATGTGCCTACGTGTGATTTACTTTACATCTTGCTGGCGTTTGTTGAACATCTTTGCTCTGATTGCTTGTAATGTTTGTCAATTTGGAAAATGCTGACCATTGTATTTTCAAGTATCTCTTCATTCACTTTCTCCTTTCCATCTCAAAAATGAATTACTTGAATGCTAAATCAAGCTTTCTTGATATTTTCACATAGATTTCAGATGCTCTGTTCCTTTTATCACTGGCTCCCCACTCCTCCTTTGGGTTTCATTTGGGCTAACTTATATTATTGACTTATCCATAAGTTTACTGATCTTTTCATTATATGTACACAGTTAAGCTCATTGCATGAATTCTTTATTGATATATTTTTATTGTAAGCATTTCAGTTTGTATATTTTTAATCCTCACCTGAGGATATTTTTCCATTGATTTTTAGGGAGTGAAAGAGAGAGGGAAAGACAGAGAGAAACATTGGTGTGAGAGAAACACATCAATTGGTTGCCTCCTGCATGAGCCCCAATCAGGGCCTGGGCTGGGGAGGAGTCTGTAACCAAGGTATGTGCCTTTGACCAGAATCAAACCCAGAACCCATTGGTGCACAGGCTGATGCTCTATCCACTGAGCCAAACCATCTAGGGCTCAGTTTGTATATTGAAAAAGTAATGATAATGTTTTTATTGATTTTTTTTAGAGAGAGAAAGGGAGAGGGAGGAGAAAAAGAAAGAGAGAGAGAGGGGAGAGAGAGAGCGAGACAGAGAGAGAGAGAGAGAATCATCAATGTGAGAGAGAAACATCAATTGATTGCCTCCCCAAGCACCCTGACCAGGAATGGAAACCACAACCTACGTATGTGCCCTAACCAGAAATTGAACCACAGCCTTTTGGTGCATGGGATAACTAACGCCAAACCAACTGAGCCACTCCAGCCAGGACAGTTTGTATCTTTTTTATAGTTTCCAGTGTTCTTCTAATTTTTTCCATATTTTTGCACATTGTTGTTTATCCTATTTATTAGATATTATAACAAATTTATTATTGCTGTTTTATAACCCCTGTTTAACATATCTGATATTTAGATCATCTCTGGATCTGCTTATACAGAGTGTTTTTCTCCTGATCAGAAATCAAAAGACCCTTGGGAGATTTCTTTCAGCTTTTCAGTATAGTTTACAGCTTTTGATTTTTGAGTTCTGTTTTTTCTGTCCTTCCTTGGCTTCCTACTACTCAAGATCTCTCTCTCACTGTAGTGAAGGAGTAGGGTGCCTGGAGGGACTTCTCTAAGCTCTTGTATCTCTCCCAGCCTTCAGCAGGCCAAGGATTTGTATTTGACATGTACCCTGGGTATCTGAACAGGGGAGGATCTCTCTAGGCTGTTTCAACTGCTCCCATCTTTCTTTGTATTACATGTTTACTCCATGTATTCACTTAAAACTCATGGGGAAGAATTGCTGGGTGGGGCACACTTGTTCTGTGGCTGGGCCCCTCAGGATGCTAATCTGCCTCACCAGCTTTGACTAGTTTCTTCCATGCTGTGGCAAATTCCTCTTCTTGAGGAGGATTCCCTTTCTGCAAGAGACAAAACCAGCTCTGAATCTGTTCCGCCTTAGAAAGGATTAATAACTGTTGGAATTTGGTTAATTTAGGTTTCTTTAAATCCTGTCTTCTGGGTTTAAAAATACTGTTGTTTCATGCCGAAACCAGTTTGGCTCAGTGGATAGAGCGTCGGCTTGCGGACTGAAGGGTCCCAGGTTTGATTCCGGTCAAGGGCATGTACAGGGGTGGCGGGCACATCCCCAGTGGAGAGGGGGCAGGAGGCAGCTGATCGATGTTTCTCTCTCGTCGATGTTTCTAACTCTCTAGCTCTCTCCCTTCCTCTCTGTAAAAAATCAATAAAATATATTTTTAAAAAAATAAAAATAAAAATACTGTTGTTTTATAATTTATCTTGCATGTTCTCATTGTTGGGGTGAAAGTCTTACAACTTTCCACGTTCTAACCACAAGTGAAGTCCTTGGACTGACTTAAAAGAAATATTAAAGTCATATAACTGTTTATAAATCAAATAAAATATATCTTAAGGTTTATAATTACAGCCCATTTTTTAAAAATTAAACTTGATCACTCAGTTTTATCATATTAATATTTTACCACATATCCTTTGAGTGTTTTTAAAATTCAAATCCATATTTAAAGAAGAATGTTTGCTACCATTGAGATAATAAAAAGAATGTGATAAGGCATTACAGGATATGCTAAAAGGAATTCTAGTAAATATTTTGGGCAAAGCCCAAAGTTTTAGAAAGCTTATCATTTTTCAAGGTAATTATGAATTAAAAGGTTTATCATGGTCTTCCTCAGCTCCTATTCATTGTGTGGCTATTTTAGACACACAAATTAATTTTAAGGACAGTAAAAATTAACTGTGTGGCATCTGGGTATTGCAATTTTAAAATTAAACTTACAATGGCTATGTGTCTTTATTTTAAAAATATATTTAACTTCTCTTTTTTCTTTTTTTTTCTTAGGAATCTGAAAACCAAAATATTAGAACAAAAACAGAAACATGGCTCATCATATTACATGTCTTTGGATAGTTTTGGTTCTGCTTCTTCGGAATTCTGTATTCGCTGAAGATGGAGAAATAAGATCAAGTAAGAACAACCAGCATTGTCCCTTTTTGTTATAAACAAGTTGTAGAAATCAAATAAGAGGAGCTCAAGCAATGGTTTTAAGGATCTTATTCCTAGTGTCTTTGATGCTGTAATTTCCTAAAATGCATAAATTGCTATGTTCCACATTAACTGGGAGGAAAATCTTCTAACAGAAGTAATTCTGAGAAAATTCTATGGTAATTGTTTATTCTGTTAACCCATCAGACTTTAGAATAAAAAGTCTGGTTATGGTAATTGTTTATTCTGTTAACCCATCAGAATAAAGTCTGTTGTTGAGTTCAGCCATTCATGAGCTTCTTGATATGAAGATAAAAAAATACCTTCATATTAGGATGGATATCAGGACCATCCTATGAGGTTATCTCATAGACATAATGAGGTAATCCATGTAAGTGAGATAATGCATGTAAATGGCTTAGCACAGTGACATCTCGGTGAATGGTGACTATTATTCTGATGGCCTATAGGAAAGCTTTCATTAGAGAAGGAGGGCTCTATTAATGTAGTTCTGCTACCCAGGCCACCAGTGCAGATACCATACTTCTTTTTAAGAGTTTGCTTATTTTCATATCTTAAAACTTCTAAACATAAAGGCTCTACTGTAAATTAATTCTGGTTTCTCTAACAGTTAAATCAGGTGGTTTGACAACTTCACTTACCTTGGCTTAAAATTTATGAAAATAACTAGAGGCCTCGTGCACAAAATTGGTGCACGGTTAGGGTCCCTAGGCCTGGCCAGCGATCAGGGCTGATCCGGGCCTTCTAGCTGCCAGCTGGGGCCTCCCTTCTTTCTGCGCCACCCCCTGATCAGTCATGTCATAGCGAGCGAACGAACTCCCGGCATCCTGGTCGAACTCCCGTTTTATAATTTAATCCACGGAAGTACTCTACTTCAGTAGATATTCTTTTCTCTCTATTTTTTTTTTTAATAGGGAAAAGAGATTCATAAAATTTAAGAGGCTTACCTAGTATCACATAGCTTGCAAGAGCTGTAACTAGTATTTAAACTATGCTTTTGATCTTCAGTCCTTTTCTTTTCTATGACATCTCTGATTCATTTCTCTAAGGAAAAGGTGTCTTGGAGTGCTATTTTGTCTGGTGTTTATAAATGGTGATATTTACTTTTTGTACCCATGGTCTTAGCTAACCTTACAGTTATGAAATATATACTTTATGGCTCTGGAAATGGGTAGGAAATGCCAAGAATAACCCTGTAAGCGTTTATAACCACAGAATCAAGAGGCACACAAACACTGGCAGGTTGTTAGACATGTTCACCTGATCACAGTGTTTATTTAGCTGGTTACTCTGATGGGTTACATTGAGGTAACTGTTAAATTAAGGACTCTTCACGTGAGCCTTGTCATCATCATCCCAGATATGATACGTAAGTAGGCAAAGATAAGGAAAAGAGAAGAAAGGAGGGAGTGAGGAAGCGGAAGAGAGGACAAGAGAGAGAGAGAGATTGACTGATAATTTACCGCTAAAGAGATACAAAAATACTAATACTAATTGTCACTAAACAATTCTTAGCCAATACCGTTCTTTGCAATTACATCTTATTTGAAAAGTATACAGAAAATAAATAATGCTTATAACTTTAAATTGGGCCTCAGATCACAATTTAAGAGAGACCATTAATATGAGTAAAAGCACAAGACTTAAAATTTGTTATATTACCTCGGCTCATCCCATATTATTCCAATCCATCAAATCCAGGGACATGGGATCCTTATCAGATGGGCCATGAGCAGTAGTATTTTTGCTGCTTTGAATTCAGAAGTTAGAGAAGGAGAAGGCAAATGTAGCAGTTCCATCCTGCGAATTCTGTTGGCCATTTCAAACTGTTGGAGTTATCCAAACAAACCTTGTCTTTTGGCTGTGTCAGCCTCTCATCTCTGGACCTTCGCTCTTGCTGTTCCCTTTGATTAGAATGTCCTCTTCACCTGGCCAAAGCTCTCCTTTCAGACATCAGGTTGCCTGTCGGCTTTCCCATACAACCTTCCTGAACTTTCCACAGTTAGGTTACTACCCTTCCTAAATGTTTTCATAATACTTTGGACTTTCCCTAACCAACCAGTTATCTATCTTACTACACCAAGAGCTTTTTTTGAGATATCTTATGTATCTTTGAAGGCAGTACCTGGCATGATATCAGACACAGAGTAGGTATTCAGTATACATACACCGAAAGAATGAGACAGGGTTAGAGGCATGTTGTGTGCTTTGGAAAAGAGAGTGAAGTTTTTTTTCTTTTTTTTTTCTAAAAGTGCTTATAACTTGTCCAGATATAACTTCCACCAGAGTTAGTTTTTTTCTTCAATAGAGCTATAAGATGTGCTGATCACACTGTTTTCTGGTTTCTTGAAACAAGAATTTTTATGGAGAAAGAAATAGATTTATAACTTTGAATATAGATTCACTTAGCACAAGCCAATGTTTTGGCTACATTATTTGCTGAAGATGAGAGATCAGACCTTTAAAAACTCATTTCCATGTAGTAAAAGAGTGATGGCTTTGGTGATCTTGGTTCATTTAACTTTTATGAACTATATTAAAGAATATGGATCTTTTAATGGCTGCTGAGTCCTGAAGTTGGCAGAAAGTTGTTGTTTTTTTAATTTCTTTCTCCCTATTAACTGGTTTATATATATTGGTAAATATTTCAGGTAGTATTAAATAAAACATATTTCGTTGATAACTTAAAACAATGTTGGTGTATAGCTGAAAACCAGGCATTTATTTTCATTTGTTCAATGGGGAAATAGAATAAAATGCTGCTTTATGATAGGTAATACTTGTACAACAAAGAAATATCTAGATATCATGTTCATATACAGCCTACATATTTTATTCCTCGTTTTAAAGCTCAATCATTCATTTAAAAAATAAAATATCAACCAAAGCAATAGCCCTCATTTACAAAGAGTTTTCATGAGCTAAGCAGTGTATCTTAATCTTCACAGAGCTGCTATAGTTACTATAATCTTTAAAAAAATCAGCTTTATTGGGGTATAATTGACATGTAACTTTTAAAATATTTAAAACATTCATTGTAGTGAATTGACATACACATAAATTGGGAAAGAATTCAGTCTATCTGGTTAATTAAAAAATCATGTTTTTAAAACTTCCCACTTTTTGCTTTTTATATAACAAACTAGAGGCCCTGTGCACAAATTCGTGCATGCCTGGGGGTGCAGGGGGTGTCCCTCAGCCTGGCCTGCACCCTCTCCAATCTGGGACTCCAGCCTGCCTGATTGCCCCTAACTGCACTCCCCTGCCGGCCTGATCCCCCTAATTGTTCCCCCTGGCTGGCCTGATCACCTCTAACTGCCTCTGCCTTGGACCCTGCCACCATGGCTTTGTCCAGAAGGATGTCCAGTCTAATTAGCATATTACCCTTTTATTAGTATAGATCAGCCATGGGCAAACTATGGCCCACGGGCTGGATCCAGCCCGTTTGAAATGAATACAACTAAAAAAAAAAAAAAAGAGCGTACCCTTTTATGTAAAGATGTTTACTTTGAATTTATATTAGTTCACACAAACACTCCATCCATGCTTTTGTTCCGGCCCTCCGGTCCAGTTTAAGAACCCATTGTGGCCCTCGAGTCAAAAAGTTTGCCCACTCCTGGTATAGATGCTAACTGATAACTTTTTTTTTTTACACTTAGGTTGTCGTACTGCTCCAACAGATTTAGTTTTCATCTTAGATGGTTCTTACAGTGTTGGCCCAGAAAACTTTGAAATAGTGAAAAAGTGGCTTGTCAACATCACAAAAAACTTTGACATAGGACCCAAGTTTATTCAGGTGGGAGTTGTCCAATATAGTGACTACCCCGTACTGGAGATTCCTCTTGGAAGACATGATTCGGGAGAGAATTTGGTGGCAGCGATGGAATCCATACATTACTTAGGAGGAAACACAAGGACAGGGAAGGCCATCCAGTTTGCACTTGATTACCTTTTTGCCAAGTCCTCACGATTTCTGACTAAGATTGCAGTAGTACTTACGGATGGTAAATCCCAAGACGAAGTCAAAGAAGCCGCAGAAGCAGCAAGAGACAATAAAATAACATTGTTTGCCATCGGCGTTGGTTCAGAAACAGAAGATGCAGAACTTAGAGCTATTGCCAACAAGCCTTCATCTACGTATGTGTTTTATGTTGAAGACTATATTGTGATATCCAAAATAAGGGAGGTGATGAAGCAGAAACTTTGTGAAGGTAAGTCTTAATATAATTTGGAAACAATTAATAACTGCACTTTCTTACATTTTGGCATAGCTCATTTATTTACACTCTTATAGTTATTTTTAATATCAAATAATTTATGTTAGAATTGAGGTGAACAAAAATTTTTTATGGATAAGTTTTGTGTTTAGAAACACTTATAAAATCTACAGTTAGATAATAAAATATTTTGTTATTTTTGTTCTTTTACCTTTCAATTGCAACAGGTCTGTTGTAGAGATGGTAGAAAATAAAGACACATAAAAGATAAAAATATATGTAAACTACACATGATCATATCACTCCTGTTAATGAGTTTTTTCTCCTTTTTTATTTTGGCCTTTTTCTTTTCTCTCTCTCTCTCTCTCTCTCTCTCTCTCTCTCTCTCTCTCTCTCTTTTTAGTTCAGATTGTCTGAGTGTTTATTCATGTGCCTAAGTAAGGATAGTATTGTACATATAATTTAATACTCAATTTTCATGTTATTACATACTTTATTGTTGTGTGTATAATTTGCATACTGTTAACATGTTAGCAGACAATCTACTAAGATTATTTATTTAATAATCTCTCTATTTTTATATATTTAGTTCATTTCTACGTTTTTCTATTATAAAAACAGGGAATATTCTTGAACATAATTCTGAATGAGAATCTTTAATTATTTTTTGGAAGAAAGATCACATTACTAAATTTTTTTATTGATTTCAGAGAGGAAGGGAGAAGGATATAGAAACCTACATCAGTGATGAGAGAGAATCATTGATCAGCTGCCTTCTGCACGCCCCCTACTGTACTATGACCTCCTGGTTCATAGGTCGACACTCAACCACTGTGCCACACTGGCGGGGCAAATTACTAATATTTTTAAAGCTCTGGAAAAATGTTACAAATTGTACTTGAGAGACAAATGGAACTTCCATCAGCAGTGAGAGAACATTTGGAAATATAGTGCTTACCAGTTTATTTATTACTAGAGGCCTACTGCACAAAAATTTGTGCACTTGGCATGGGGGTTGGGGGTCCCTCAGCCCGGCCTGTGCCCTCTTGCAGTCTGGGACCCCTCAGGGGATGACCACCTGCTGGCTTAGGTCTGCTCCCCAGAGGATTGGGCCTAAGCTGGCAATCAAACATCCCTCTGACAGCCCGGCAGCCATCAGGGGATGTCCACTTGCCAGCGGGGAGCAGACCTCAGCTTCAGTTGGGCATCCTTAGCACTGCTGAGGAGGCAGGAGAGGCTTCTACCACCACTGCTGTACTGGCAGCCATCAGCCTGGCTTGTGGCTGAGCAGAGAGCCCCCATGTGGGAGCGCACTGAC